TTAAACAATTTAGTGTGAATGGACATAGTTTTTACATTTAAATGCTATTTCCAAAATAAACCATCTTAGTATTGGTTAAGCTCCCAATCGCATCTACGTCCAAGTCTTTAAAACTCCACACCTCCAGTTTGCAACACAGGCTGCTGTTATAAATGTTGAAGCAGATATATCCCATCACCATGACATGATCCACGTCTCTCAGACCTGAAACGTTATACAGCTGTAGTCCGGCAGAGTATTTACTCCACGTGATGAGTAATTTGACCTTTATGTGTGAAATCATCTCAGATTTGTCTTGTGAAACTGGACCCGCAGGTCGGTAAACCACAAGGGATTCCAAGGATCACAAGGGAAGGGTTACATAAGACCTATTCTGTTGCTTTGGGTTATAATGTTTGTTTGGAAGAGTTGGGCCAGCGTAGAAAATATCAAAGCGGCTTGATATTAACCCCCGTAGGGTGCGTGTACACAGCTGCTATCTTTAAGCGGCTGCTCATGCGACACATCTTTGGGAAGCTGCGATTCTTGGGATTCGATTGATGCAAACCATTTCAAGTTGCAATCCCAGCTGATAGAATCAGCGCCTTAGTCAGACTACCTACGAGCAAACAAACGATTAAAAAATGGAGACAACTCACTTATGAAGCCTCATTAGGAATCCACCGATCGATAACATCTGACAACAGTCTTGTTACATTGTCCAATCCAGTACAACTTTTAGTCTAAAACACATTACTATATCAATTACTACTCACTCACTGCTCTTGCATTATTTCAAATCAGCCAGCAGATGTGCTTATCTTCCACGTATTCTTTGTTATAACTACTTTTGGCTCCAGTAGTTGATTGACACCTCATTTGAGCCAATAGGTGCTTCCACGTCCTGTCCACAGCCGACAATAGCCAATGAGAGTTCAGGTTGAAGGGCAGTGCCGGCTCCTTTTCCTTCGTGTAAAGACTGAGCCGGTTACAAACAATTGTGCTGATGACTGACGCTTTTTTACGACCTAAGAAATTCCTCGATGTTCCAGTGTAGATTATAAATCCAAAACTAGGACCATGGGACCAATGTGGTCACGTTTACCAGGGGTCCTTTTGGAGTCCCCAAATGGCCCTTTTTGGAAGACTCCAAGACATACCCTTAGAAAAACATGTGTAAAATGTGCAATTCTATGGTATTGTTTGCAAATATATTTCCATGGAATAAGTCGCAGTCTGCATTTGTTTACAAGATAACATTCAGGTGGAAATAATGTCCCTCTACTCATGTGTGTAAAGGTCTATTACTCGGAGTGTGACGTTTCCATTTATTCCGTTTCCTGTCTTATTTTGAAGTTACTCTCCTCATGTGTCATGTTTGGTGTTACCCCCTGACTTTGTCATACCGCACCTGTGTTTCATTAGTTGATGAGTCTCTTGTGGTTCCCTTTTTCACATCAGGTCATCTGCTTGAGTTGCTGATTTCTACTTTTCAGCCTTGCTTCTTGTGTTTTGTTTTCCTCAGTGATTAGCATTATCAGCAGTTTTTTTGGGGGGTTGTCTCCTGGTACCTGCCTGTTTTTGGACATCCAGCTGAACATTCTTCATCATTTTTCTTCTCATTAATACTCCACACGTTGTGATAGTAAAACTGTCATGAATTCCCTCTTGGCCGTATTCTACAGGGATTTTCTCTGCTTCTGCTTTGTTACTGTGATCTAATTTCCCTGCAGCGATGACCAAACTACCACCTCATTTAATCTCTAAAGTTGAGAGCACAAACATTACACGCAACGACAATTAACAGCATTGATGTGGGGAGATCATAAGACTATGTTTGTGTGTCTGATAGTACCGCTCCGTTCCCTCCTCTCCAATGTAATTATAGCCATTAGGTCTCCGTCAGGGTGTGCCATTGCCGATAGAAGTTGACAGCTTCTGCACACTTGCACAAGTTGTTAATCACTTCAGGTTTTCTTCATAGAGCAGTCGAAGTCAGAGCTGGCTGCCGGCGTAGACGGTCTTTGTAAAGCCTTTAGGGTCGACTTGCGGGTGAGATTAATAGTTGACTCATATTATGATTCACAACTATTTGTAGAAAGAGTATAAGCCCTTTTTTAAAACTCTGTTAAACACATGTAACTGTCACACAGCAGCAGGATTATATGGCTCTTATCTGCAGTGCATGTAAGCAGAGCTTCTGCTGCGCGGATACCTTTTGAATCCGACAGACACCTGAATCTAACAGTTAGTAACAGACCTGTTTCACTCACTTATGAGCTGTAGCAGGGAGTCATGTGATGGCAGTCCAAGAGAAGATGTGGTAAATATACCGCTCCATCAATCTTAAAGGAAAAATTCATGATTTGGATGTCCAATCAGTGTTGGTATTAAACACATTCCTCAGTGCATGCTATATTCATGTTAACCTGACCCGCCAGACGGTTTGTTATACAGAACCATCTCATTGCGTCAGTCTGTCATACCATAAATGCACATCAGACTTTAAAGGGGCCAAATTTTCCCTTAAAGCCACATAAAGTCCTTATTTTGCGCCAACAGAGCACTGGCCTTTAACACACGTAAAGACACAAATGTCCATTCTTCATCTGTACTGGTTACTTGTGAGCAGTGCAACAAGCTGTAAATACAACACTGACATATTATCACTTATCAAAGTTGAACAGTTGCCTATTTACGCATCAGACACAGATACACAGAGCAGCACGAGTCATATTTCGTCATACACTCGATGAATGCTTTTAGATGTACAACAGGTTTGTGCATAACGTACACACCTACAGAAGTTTCAATGTCTCCTGGAGTGTAAATTCAACACAGATCTGCTCTTGAACGCATATTTGGGATGTTGTGTAATAGACGCAGCATATCAATATTTTTTGAGTAATCTGTATTTTTGTCGAATGCATTTTTAGACTTTCCCCGAGGCGAGGGCTGGCACTGGTAAAACAGCATCAGTCATAATATCCCCTCCAATACTCTGATCTGAGAATATAAATGAGAGTGTAGAACACTGTACATGCAGCCTGAAGGGCTGCACTGCTCCGCTCTTGCTTTTGCCTTGTTGCGGTCCGCGGCTGACAGCGACAAAAGTTCATTTGGGCCCGTCAGGGATGATAAGCATGCATCACGCTCAGATTAAAACGTTATGTGCTCTTGCCGGCCGGCTGCTTGTCAATTGAACGGCCAGAGCAATAGAAGGCAGTGCAGTGGAAAGCTAAGTGGATCTGCTCCCTCCAATTGGAAGCCCAGAATAAGCTCGGAGCCCCCCCCTCAAGTCAGCCAAAGATACGTGTTTGCCCTGCAGCCAGTAAACACATCATAAGAGCAAACAACCTCAGCCACTTCAACCAGTTCCTCACCCCTTCTTCTCCTTCATGCAAATGAGCTCCAGTTGAAGTCTTAGTCGTGAATGGATTCATTGATCATACGCGTGCGCGTTGATCACTTTCAGTGGGAGAATCAGTAACTCAGTTTTCTGCTGCACAGACAGCAAAGTTGTTGCTTCATCGTCAGCCTTAATGGCATCTGCTGCTCGTTGTGCAGATCCTCCATCCGTCATTTTCATGTCCAACTCGTATGTGAACACCAGTCAGTGGTGCACATCCACAATACAATTATAGTACCATGAAGGACGGGGTCCTTATCAAATGTTTGCTAACCTACTTTCAAATGTTGTCAATCAAAAATGAAATAGCACATGTGATTATTTTGTTGGACTGTCATCATTGTTGAAAGCAAATGTGGCGTTTGCTGGACTGACCCAGTATGTACATGAAGCAGGAAGCAGAATTCACAGTTCGCTTTGTTTTGTACTTTAATTCTTCCACATGGGTAAACGGAGCATCACGGTGCAAGTTGTGCATTCAAATGATCTGAGTCAGTGAGTTTACTTCGTCATGTAGGATGAGAATGTCATGAGGAATCTTCATTTGTTACAGCGTAGATATTTTTATTTTCGGGTTAATGAGACCATAGCATTACTGTGCCTGCGGTCACATGTTTGCATCAGTTGTTTAACATACTTAATGGTTCACAGGCTAGTTATTTAATAGAGCGTCCAAGCTCGCCATTATATTACTTTTTTTTTTCTCTGCTTCTGATGCACATCATAAAGGGCGGATGTTAAATTTCATTGTCTCCATAAAAGCACGCCTGAGCCAGACTGGGGGCTTGTGTGAAGCGTCTTCAGAGGTTGACAGGCAGAGTAGCAGCAGTGTCAACCTACCTGAGTGACTGAGGACGGCCCGTCAGCAGGCAGCCACGCACATCACGCTGACGTTTTTTCATTTCCCTGCTGAAGGCCTATATATAGCCCTGACAGTGAAGGAAAGATGCAACACGGGCACAATGGCATTTATAGGTGGGAGGGAAACATTCCCTGGATCAGCTGTCGCTTGTAGACCTTTTATACCTCAATTTCCAGTTGATATTAGACAGCACTTAAATAGCACTTCTATACTATGCTATCTACTAAAGGTATTCCTGTGTAGACATTCAGTATACATACTGAATGTCTACACATGCTGCTTTTGAATTATTGTAACCGTGAATAAAGACCTACCCGGCTTCACAGGAACAGTGGTGTTCCTTAATATGCTCGTCTTCTGTCTCGAAACCCACCTCATTTCTATTAAATCTAATCAATGAGACAATGCACATCTCTCTCTTTAAAGATCATTAAACTTTATTCACCAGGGCTCAGGGGACACCTTTAGTTGCAGCCAAAGAATCACAACCTGAGCTTAAACAATTAGATGATGAACTGATTAGTCGATTGGCATAAAATGAATTGGGTTTTGAAAACTGTTTTCAAATAGTAAAATAAGTTATTATCATTATAAGGTCAATTTTGATTGCAAAATGTAAAGGCTACGGAATAATGATCCTGTCGGCAACTGACAATTCAGCAAGTGGTGACATATTAACACAATTTCTTTACAAAATGTAGCTTTTTTTGGTGAAAATTGATCTTCATGTTTGCGGTATTCTGTTTACAGAGATGGCCTTGGATTCTGTTGTAAAGCTGTGTCCCTGCAACCCCTTCTCCCCAATTATCAGGTGAGTAAAATGTTGTTCCAGCTGACTTTTAAGGTAAAGTTTCAATAGTAACCTGATTGATAACACAGACCAAATGTGTTTAAAGTTTGAACATTCTAAGTAGATCATTGCTACCCTGGATGAGATTTGGGTTGCATGTTGTATGCAGAACTTCAAAGTAAACCCGGACCTTGCTTTTAATTCTGTTAACACTTCCAGACTTCCACGCTTGTTCATCTAGGAATTATAAGCTACACCATAACTCGACAATTCTCCACCGAGTGCTGGATTTGAGGGCTTATGTTTAATAAGTTCTACCAAAACTCTGGACTTAAAGGGGTTTCAGGTGATGTTCTAATCCGCGTAGGGTGATGGGCAGTGTGTGCGTGAGGCTGAAAGGTCAGAAGACCGTGATCTAAGTCGGCAGCCAGCGAGCCGGCAGATTGAGGTCACGTCAGCTCAACAAAACGTAATGCAATCGACTGGGCTTGTTTTATAGACTTGTGGACATTTTTCGTGCTTGGGCAAGATGAGGAAAATTACATTTTGTAGATACTTTTAGCTGGAATCATCAGTAACTGACTCAGAGTTTGATTTCTCAAACAACTTTAGGGAGTTTCAAGATTTCTGCAAACACAAATTTACGAGTATATATGTATCATGAGGAAACTGTTGCAGAGCAGAGGATCAGGACATTTATATTTGTGGCAGCCATATTAAATCTGGCCCATCGGGAATCATTGAGCTGCTTTGTGTTGTTGTTTCTCCCTGCCAAACAGTCGCTGTGCAGGCTCCCTGACCATCTGACAGCTTTCAGAGGCAAGTAAAGGAGGAACCGTTGAGATTACTGCTCACCTTTTACAACTCAATGTGTCATTTCAGGATTTGGTGAAGATGTTGTACCGCTTTTTTCCGGTCCCTGAGATTCAGTTGCCAATAGCTCTGGAGAGAGGTTTTACACTGGTGGCCACTTGTGCGTGTCGAGACCTGCATAAGATAGTTTATGAATCCTGGCGCTGCGGAGGCAGCGCCAGGATTGATATACTTTACTTTGAATTTCTGAATGCATGATGTTTCCAAAGTCAATGAGTAATTGTGATCTCGGTATTGACCAAAATAGTAGTTTTTATTGGGCTATTCAGTGTGTACTTTACTGTGTGCCTCCTTAGATGACTTCCTCGGATTGTCGCTGGTGTTGATGGCTTTGTGGCAGCTCTGCTGAAGGTCCACTCTTGGCAAGCTAGCAGCGAGTAAATGGTCTCTCTCTGATAGAGGGCCTCATTTGAAACACGCTCCCCGTAGAACTGCTTTCCCCCACGGTGAGCGATCAGATGCCTGGATACTGTGTCTTTGAGCCAAATCGATAGCAGTCGCAGCCGATCCCACAGCGCAGCATGATGACTGCATGCTCCCAGTCACGGTGCTGCATAGAGGCTAAAGACTCCCACTGTTACATTGTACTCTTCTGTTGGATTTTACTGCCTTGTATTACAAAATGGCCATAATATATCAAGAAGAGGGAGAGAGGGTGGTAATAGGATTATTGAGTAATACTAATGATTCAATTACTTTAGCAGGTTCTACATTTTCTGGCTTTCAACGACTGCTTTCTAGTCCAGTAACGGGGCCAAAAACACTCAAAAACGAGTGAGATAAATGATGGAATAAAACCAATTTTACAGTATATTTCATGGTTATATACCTGCCCATTCAACATTCCAGTTTCTACTACTTGGCTCGGTTGGAAAAATGTGACATGCAGTTGTATATGTTAACTAGGTCAATGTAACACAAGGTGGGCAGAGGAGGTGAGTTGGTGGGATCTGTGCCACAAGATGATCCTGCTGGTTGTTGTTCGAGGTCAATATAGGTTGCAGATTTTTTTCTTTGACAGTGTTGGAATAATAACGCCACAAGGCAACAACAGGATAAAAGCACTTTGAGTGTGAGTGTGTGTAGTGCGACCATGAGCGGAGCAAGAGAAAACAAACATGTCGGTGACTGCTAACTCCATACGCACACCATATAACAAAGCTAAAATAGCAACTAGCGGTTCATTGACAATTGATGCAAATGGTCTCTTGTGACGCTGTTTTGGCCAAGAGGGAGATACCGTAGCTTTGGCACTGAGCGGTTATTAGCAGTACACATCACAATTGCTGCACACTTCTACAGTTGGGTATTTTGCTCAATCCAATGAGTAGTGCTTGACTGGAGCATCAATTTTATCTTCAGTGTAAAGTTAGCAGTTGTGGTTGCTCGAGAGCGGTTAGCTCAATGACCCGTCGATCAAAGAAATTAGTCAAAAGTTTCTTTCACACCTGTGAACACACTTTCTTTGCCATTTTTGTGACTGATTTGTCGCTATGTTTCTAGCTCTGGTAGAGGGAGTTCTTTATCCCACCTACATGGTTCTGATTGACTCAGTTGTTTTCCAACCTGGAGGACAAAATGAGGTGATGGTGGCAAACCAGAGAAACCAGGCCAGGTGAAAACTGTTAGAAATAGAGACGCCTTGTTCATCTCTTCGCTTTCTTTTGTGTTGCTGTGCAGATAAAGTTCTCCCTCTCTGGCTCTCCACCACTGATTAGGACTGGCAGTACTACAGTGTTCACAGACTGTGAACAGGGGGTAAACCCACTCAAGGGCAGCTAATGCATTTGTATGCTGTACATATTCCTAAGAGGGCAAGTAATGTGTTTAGCATAAGAACACAATAGGGAACATGGAGTCTTGTTATGGGCTACAGCCGCACGGAGCGAGCGATGTGAAGATTCGTCTGCTCCTCAGACCGCAGCGGGGTGCCGATGCGTAACCGGTTTTCCTGTGCTGAATACTGTACCCACTGGGCGCCGCCAGTCGCAGCTCTCGTATAAAAGAGGATGTGGAAAGTATGAACAGTGTGCAGGTCAGCACCTTTTTACTTCATTATTTGATCAAAAGCACCCCTGTGGACTTAAAAACCCCAACTCCTATTCCCATGATGTCCACAGAGGATTCTGATTACAAAGGCCTTCTTCTCCACACAAGAACTCATTAATAATTTACAGGATATTTGCATGCACTCACCGTGTCTTGCACTAGTGTCTAAAGGTCTGTCTCTGAGTGTTTCTCAAAGTCAAAGACGGATCCTTCAACGGCTGAATTTCAATGACGTTACGTCGTCAAATCCCGCCAAAGGACTGTTCCAATGTCAAGGATCCTTCGGCTTCTGCAGAGGACCGAGTCCTTCGCTCAGAGGATTTTCAAGGATTCATGCGTGTATCCGCGGTGCTCCTCAAAATCCCAACAGTCCTGTGTGTGGGATGCATAACCTGTCTCCTGATTTGGAAACAGGAACATGCTAGTAAGCTATTATTATTATCGTTATAATCATTACCCCGTAGCGGTCAAATTTGAGGTGAGAAATTGCCGATCTATATTAGATCTACAAGGCTTCATTTACAAGTTTGTCCCATCTTCTCATTGTACAGCGACAGGCTTCTCAATGGCAGAGACGGACAGCATATTTTCACATCTCACTCTATCTTTTGGCTTTATTTCGACCAAACCACAGTTGGTTGGATTGTCTGAAGTTGAAAGAATCCTTAGGTAATCAAAACACAGATATACAAAATGCAATATATATATATATATATATGTATATGGTGTACATTGTTTTCCTGCAAGGCCATCAGAATGTTTTAGCGCTTGGCCTGTATTTCAGTGACAGTGATTAAGATTCAGCAGCTGACAGAGAAAAAATAAAAAAGCCATTGCAGAGTCATAGCTGAGAAGAGATTGTGCTGCCTAAGCAGGTGTATCCCAAGGGATACTTACTCATTCATCAGCATCAGTGCACCGGGGCCCCCAATCTCTATGTGCTGTTGCGAATTTAACTGAATAAACAACGCTGTCCAAGTTATTCATTGCAGGCCAATAATGAATATATATTTCTTTCTATTGCAGCTGTGGATTTGACTCACAAATCTCCTTGCGTAACGGTTTTGCTTTGCTTGCACTCACTGCAGCCAAACAGCAATCAGCAACAAAGAATGATTTAACCCAATATTACATCCGAAGCAACATCACAACTTTATCAGAGAAAGAAAAGAAAAAGAAAGAGTCAAGGAACACGACAAATGCATGTGCGATGGTCATGTGCAAATGTACAAATTAGCGGTAAATTGATTATATTGTCAGGGCATGGACCAGCTGAAGTGGGTGCTTACATGAATGGGATGGTATACATGGATGTACTTGATTCCATGGTCTTTTGATTGGATCATCTAGCCAGCATCTGTGCGCATAATGTGTAACAGTTATGAAGCATGTTCAAGTAAATAGGCAACTATGCGTACGGTGGATCGAACAGCAGAAAGCAAACGAGGCTGTGATGATGAGAGGACGTGATGATGACTAGCGCGCGCTGCAGCATTTGCTTGGAGGCTGTATACTTCCACATGTAAGCGGTGTATGTGGAAGGGGTTCTGGATAAGAAGTGCAAGTATGACATTGGTGTAATGGGAGCTTATTAGTGAAGGAGGGACGGCTGCGCGTGAAAGACCGCCAGCTCTCCTTGAGTTTCACAGATTGTGATATCAGCAGTGGGAGGCAGATACGGTGTGTCCAGGGTAATAGTGATGGCTCTGCCCCAAGGGAAGGGAAGGATCGCGTATCGCTTTAATGAATTGCAAGGGAGACAACCCTGTGGGGTCCTCTGCCTCATGCGAGGCCGCATAATGAATATATATTGTGTTTCCTTTAGGCCTGTGGGCTGGCTAATTGGCAGAAAGCTAATTCTAGCTCTTCATTGGAGACCGAGCAAACAAAAGCCGCACACTGTTCTATACAAGTCTGTCCCCGTCTGGTTCCTCCTGGCCTCATTTTGTCTTTCACTATTTTTTCAGATGTCACATGAGTTTATGATATCTATTCATTTTCCCTACTGGGGACAGCATGACCCTAAAAAAATAAAATACAATACCCTTACGTAAAAGAAATAAAAGTTCCAAAGTTTTAGCCAAGCTGCACGGGGGAAG